AATTGTGTATTGTTTTTCTGTTCCTTTAATTAGTGAGTAACTTGGTTTTGTGGAAGCCATTGTAAATAAATCAATAAAAGTCTTTTTAAATTCATTTTTTAAAATTTTAGCTTCTGAAATAATATTTGTATAAGAACAATCTCTTGAAATTACTGTGTGAAGAAAGAGGTATGAAAGAAACAAATAAAACAAAGTCTTATTAAAAATTATCATCTTAAAGTGTTTTACTTCATCCAATAATCGTCATATTCATGTCTGTTCATAGAACAAAAAAATATCTCTTTAAATGTCTCCACATCAACAATATTATAAGGTGTTTAACAGAAGATTGTGATTAAAACTTGATATTGTTATTCTGAAATAAAACCGTCATAAACAACAAAAAAATACTTAACAAAAAAAAATATGTGAAATATAAAAAGAAAAAGAAAAAAAAAATCTCAAAAATCAAACAAGTGAGAAAGATGTCTGAATTTCAGGAATATCCAAGTCAACCATCTGTACAGTCAGGAGATTCTACATCAGTAAAAAGTGATGAGCCAGTTGAGACTACTCTTGACGAACCAGTTCTTACTACTTTAGTTTGTTCGTGTTGGAGATTGTATTATATCGTTTTTGAAATTAAAAGAAAGAGATAGAAAAGTAATAAAATGTAGTGGAGAGAAATTAAGCAAGTAGGTACAAAATTATTCCATGTTGTTGTTTTCTGTACTAAAACAGAAAAAGTTATAAAAGACTGGGATTTATGGGGACCAATGCTCGTATGTTATATTCTTTCTTTATTACTTTCCATTAATATTATGATTCGTAAAGGCAATAATGGTAAAGATGACCAATACAGTTCTTATATCTTTTCCATTGTTTTTATTTGTTTCTGGTTAGGATCAATAGTTATTTCGTTAAACACTAAATTCCTTGGTGGTCATTTAACTATTCCACAAAGTATCTGTATTGTTGGGTATTGTGTTTTCCCAATTTTTGTTGGTGCTATTACTACAACTATTGCAACAATTTGTTGGTCACCACTTTCTATTTATGTTGGAGTTCCAGTTATGATTCTTTGTGATATCTGGTCATGTATGGGTTTGTTTTCCTTTTGTTATAATATCTTTCTATTGAAATACTTAATATTGTTTTAGCATCATTTGGATTCCTTCAAAGTGCTATTAAATTAACTAGAAGGCCATTAGCTGTTTTCCCAATTGTGTTATTCTTTACTATGTTATCATGGTTAACTCTTGTTGTCAATATCACAGGTTTTACTAGCAATAAAGCTACCAGTGAAGCTTAAAGAAGAAAGGGAAAATTGATATGTTTTTGACATTTCATTTATTTAAAGAAAATAAAAAAATAAAGAATAAAAAAATAAAAATAACTCAATGTTTAAAAACAATAAACCATTGACTCTTGTAGAACAGAAACAGTTATCTAAATCTACTGAGGCATATCAACAAGGGGTTATGATCTATTTACTTGTTAAAAGTGGATTTGAAGTACGAGTTAAACGTCTAGATAAAAGTGCTAAAAAGACAATTCAAAACTATCCTATAGTTTCATTAAAAAATTGTAAAACTGAAGAGGTTATTCCTTTTCAACAAAAAGTTGAGGAAGAAGCAAATTTTGCACGTAATAGAGAAAAAAAAGAACAACCTTCAGACCAAATACAACGACATTATGAAAGAAATAAAGTAACAATTGCATGTAATCGAACTATAGAATTTGTAGAGCAATTAGGATTTACTATAGAACAACGAGGAACAAGATCAACAAAATATACAGTAAAATTAAAGAAATTTTCCCAAGTTATTGGTAATGGAATTAAAATACGAAAAGAAGATATTTTTACTATTGGAGGAAGTGTTATGAAGTATATTAAAGGTACTTTTGGAAAAAATGAAGAAAGTGTTATTGGAGTAGATTTATTGAATTCATTAATATTCCCAAATGTAAGTATTGATGGTATTAAACAAAAAACAGAAGATGATACTATTATTCAAAATGAAAGACTTATTAGTTATGAAGATCCTAAAGAAGAGGAAAATACTATTGAAAGTAAAGAAATAAATAAAGAAAATAAAAGTTTTAATAAATGTGAAATTGTTGATGAATTTGATTTAGGTATAGATATTCCTAATGAATTTATTGTTAAAGAAAAAAAAGATTTAACATCAGAAATAACTGGAAGTATTGTTCATTCATATGATCCTATTTTTTCATTTTATACTCCAAATGATATTAATTCAAAATGGGCTAAAAAATAAAATGTTACTTTAACACTTTGATTATTTTTATCATTATTATTCTTTCATTTAATTTATTTTTTTTTGTTTTTTTATTTTTTTATTTTGTTATTTTGTTTTATTAAATGTCATAAATAACAAAAAAAATAATTTAATAATTACTTTTATTAAAATTAATAAATTTGATTTATTATTTAAAATTATTTATATTATTATTAATTCATTTAATATTTAGTTTGTAGATTATTGTTTGATTGATTTATAAACAATTGTTTTTTTATCGAACAAAATTAAAACATTTTTATACCCCACAAAAAATGATAACTCAATTTTTTTTTTTAAATTTTTAATAAAATGAAACACGTGGGAGATATTGATATTGTACAAAAATAGTTTCATTCAACAAGTTTCATTCAATTTTAGTTTATTTGTTGCTTTGTAATTGGTATATTAATAAAGTTAATGAAGTTATATACTTCTCTTAGTAAGATAAATAACAATAAGATAAATAAAATATCTATTATTTAAAACACAAAACAAGTGTTAGTTATAAATAAAAAAAACTAATTTTATTATAAATTTACTAAAATGATGATACTATATTATAATATTAATGATATAATCCATTTGCCGAAATTCCATTAGCAAATAAGTTTTATTAAAAGGGGGTTTTAACTTAATATAAAAGAAAGAGTATAAAATAATTCTATAATAATAGATTTAGTTACCAACGTTTAATAAGACTATAAACAAACCCTTATAAAAAAGATAATTAAGAAAATGAAATGAGTTAAAACATGAAAAGAAGTTAAAATGGGTTAATTTATTTTTTTTTTTAATTATTATATAATTTAAAAAATGTCTTTTCTTTTAATTTAACTTAAAATAGGATTTTTTTTTATTGTTAAAAAATGGTTTTAATCTACTTCAAGTATAAGATTTGTTTGCCACCTCATTTTTATCTTAGAAGAAGTATGAATTATAAAAAGATAAAAAAGAAGAACTTAAAAAAATTGAGAAAAAGAAAAAGGATGTCTAGTTTTGGTGCATACATTTCAGGAGAGAGTAGTAGTGAAGGCAGTGGGTTACATCATTTATCACCAACACATCCTCACGAAAGATCAAGTTCAATTTCTCCTCAAAGAAAACAAAGAAAACAATATACAATCACGAAAAAAAGAGAAGTTTGGACAGACGAAGAACATGCCCTTTTCTTAGAGGGGTTATCTTTGTATCATCGTGACTGGAAAAGAATAGAACAACATGTCAAAACTAAAACCGTTGTACAAATACGAAGTCATGCTCAAAAATACTTCCTAAAACTCCAAAAAATGCAACAACAAAATCCATCTTCTTCTCAAGATCTTCCATTGGTAAATTCTAATTTGTCAGACAAGAAACCATTAAGCACTCTTGAAAATGGGAAGAAAAGAAGAAATTCATTATCTGCTTTTACCCCTGTTGAAAGCACTCTTGAGTATTCTATTATTAACTTTTCTAATTCTGAATTTAATTCTCCCATCAACCCTTCTTCTCCTTTTAATGAACCAGTTAACACTCAACGTCACAATCAATATTTCCATCCGATTTATACCAATTAGACATTTTTATCATTTTTGTGCTGTGTTTGTATTGATATTTAATTGATTTTATGTGAGAATGTTTCTTTGGGATATTTAATTTATTATAATATAAAATTTATTCCTTTTTTTTTGTTTCTATTCATAAATCTTTTTTTGCAGTACTAAAAGTTAGGTACTGAGAAATTTAGAAACGAAATAACATATTTTTTTGTTTTATTGTATTGTACTGCAATAAATAGTTTTTGTTGAAGAATGGAAACGTCAAGAAAATAGAAAATCTTAAAAACAAAACTAAAAAGATTCTCTAATCACTTACAAATGACAACACTTCAAGATGATAATTCATTAGTTACAAGTCAAAGAGCTGAATATTATTCTAATTCAAAAGCACCAAATTATAACCCACCAACAGCACAAAATTTTAGTCAAAATCTCATTTCTCAAGAGTCTGGAACTGTTCCTATTGAACAGTCTCAACAAACTTATTTTGCTCAAACTTATGTTCCTCAAAACCAATACATTTCACAATATATGTCAGAACAACCACAAAATGAAGTTCAAATAAATAACCAAATACCTCCTAGTGCTATGAATGTTCAATCATTACCTCCTTATTTAACACAACCAACTCAAATGAACCAAGAGACTACTATGCCAGTTCCATATATTCAACAACCATCTTATAACCAAAACCAATTTGTTGTACCAACACAATATGAAGAGCCTAATGTTGTTAATGACTTTGACCAATCAGAAAATCTAAGGGAAAAGAAATATGCACGTTTAACTATTACTTTTGCTATATTAGGAATTTTCATGTCACCACTCTTTATTCTTTCCTTCTTATTTTCAAGAAAATCAAAGAGAAAGTCTATTAGAGTAATTGGTAATATGGCTCTTTTATGTTTTGATATTCTCTTATTAGTATTTGTCTTCTGGATTTTTACGTCTTATTAACTTTTTAAATAAATTCAATTAGAATAATTAAAACTTTTTAATAAATTTTTAAATCATTCAATTACATTTAAATATTTAAGAATATAATAAAATCATCATTATTTTTAATATGGTATATTAAATAATTCAGAAATGTTTTCTTATAATAAATTCTTCTTTATCTATTAAATAGTTAAAAAGAAAATAAAAGAGTTTATTTAAAATATAATACTCTTTAAATTTATTGTAGTTTTTGTTGAATTTCATCATCATTTTTAGTTAATATTAAAAAAGAACATAGCCTCATTCTTCTTATTAATAATGTATATATTGTTTGTGCAATTCTTTCAATATCTGATTTATTAAATTGTTTTCCATCAATACTTACAGAACATATTGTTTCTATTACCAATGCTCCATTTTTTCCAGATGTTCTTTCAGTTTCAAAGATAGCACCATGTTCAGTTAAAATATCTTTCATTAAACCTAAAGAAATTATCCTTTTATTACTTTCACTTCTTCTTCTGGCAGTTTTTTCACTAATTCCATTTTTCATATCAAATTTTTCTCGTTGTTTACATCTTTGACTAACAAATGATTCAAATTGAATAATGTCAGTGTCTGAAAATTTTAATGTTTCAATTTTAAAAAATTGAAGACATACCTTGCTTGTTTTAAAGGGTTTAGATATTGTAATACTACAATTTTTATTTAATAATGCAAGGAGAAAAGTTTGTTGTTGTGTTTGATAATTTCTAAATGCTTGAAACTTTTCTTTGTGTCTTTGATTCATATTACAGTTTCCATATTATTCACAGTTTCATTTAGTTTCTTCGATTCATCATACAAAATTGAATGTTACAAAGTATTAATGAATTTTCAAAACTATTACTAACTATTTTTTGTTTTAATAATATTTAATTTCATAATTCATACCCCCTACGTTTTCAATTTCAATTCTTTTGAAACACATATACATTTTTAAAACCATAGTATAATTTTTAAAAAACATTAATATCCTATTTGATTTTAATTAACAAAAAGTGTCATATCATAAATTTATGTAAAGACATTTATTGAATTAACGTATCAAATTAAAAAAAAATAATAAAATATTAATGAATATAAATTTTGAGTGAATGTTTTATTATTTTTTAACGATTTTTATTTAAAAGCTAAATGGGATATTTTTTATTAAATTTTTTTATTTTTAAATTGTATCAAATAAAAAAATTGAATGAAAATGAAAGAATGAGTAATTAATAATATTATGTTAGTTCTTTCTTTATCACAACAAATAAATTATTTTATTTATTTCATTTAGTAACTCTAATATTTAATGTAGTTACGAAAGAAACTCAACAAATACCTCAATCAATAAAAAATGAATATGAAAAAAATAAAATAACCCTAAAAATATCCTTTTTAATTCAATTTTCTCCAAACAACTGAGTTGCATTTCAATCCAGAACCAAATGCAAGTTGCCAAACTTTATCACCTTTCTTTAATGTATCAATTCTTTCAATAAATTTCATTTCATACCATACAGATGAGGATGATGTATTACCAAATCTATATAAAGTAGCTCTTGATGGCAAGCAATCTTCATCAGTTAATTTTAAATTTTCTTGAAGACCATCAACAATAGCTCTTCCACCAGCATGAATACAAAATGCTTGGAATGTTTCTCTGAAATTTGGCATAAAAATTTCTTTAGAATCAATTTTTCCTAATTTTTGTTTAATGAAGAAAATAATAAATTTGATCATTTCTTTATATGAAATAACTCGTGGCATTAACAAATTAAGATTTTGTGTTAATGCTCTTGTAACACATTTTAATAATTCTCTACCAATTTTTACTCCAACAATTCCTTCATCATCTTCATATTGGAATACAGCATTATAAGAGTCATCATATTTACCATGATGAATACGTTGTGTATCAACACATTCAAATTTAGCTTTATTTCTCCAACTTCTTTTATTAGATAATAATATTGCAGCACCTCCCATTCTAAATAATGTATTTGATATTAACATTCCTTTAACCTTACCTGGATAATAATTCTTTGTTAAATTTTCTGTAGAGAATACAAGAATATTAATGTTTGGATATGTTTGTAACAAATCTTTAGCTAAATCAATTGATACTAAACCAGCTGAACATCCCATACCTGATAATGTATAATTTTTAACAGTAGTTTTTAATTTATACATATTAATTAACATTGCTGACATTGATGGTGTTGGATTAAATAATGAGCAATTAGTAATAACTATATCAATATCTTTAGTTGGATCAATTCCTGTTTGTGCAAATAATTGATCACATGCTAATTTCATGACAATATTAACTTCTTCTCTTGCATCTGCCATTGAAACAGTAATTGGAATTCTATGAAGTGCCTCAGGTAAATATGTCTCTTCACCAAGACCTGTACGTGAAGCTAATTTTTTTTGGAAGTCTAATTGTTCTTGTTCAAATGATCCAGCTCCTTCAATAATTTTAACAAATTCTTCTGTTGAAACTTTATATTTGTCATCAGGAATTGATGTAGCAAATGAAACTAAATAAACTGGGTATGGTCTTCTTAAGTACCATATCCATACTCCAATAATAAAAATTCCTGCAACTATTGCTTCTGATATATAAACTTGAAACTCTGGATTAATACTTGTTTGTTTCATTACAAAATAGAATAAATTGTACATCATTCTTAATACAAAATAAAGAATAATAAAACAAATTAACTTTACAATATAATCTAATGCTTTAGTTATTATATCTGGACGTAATACATTCTTGTGAAGTGATGGAAGAATCTCATTTTGTTCTCCATCAGCCATTGGATACCAATAAGGTTTAAGACTTCTCTCCTTGTCCATTTACTTCAATTTGATTTCTAGTTCTTTGCTTCTTTTCCTTTCCAATCGTTTTTTTCCACTATTAACTCCTTCATCTCTGCTTCCTTTTCAATTTTTTTCTAATTTTTAATCTTTCTTTCAAATATAAAGTTATAGGGTTATTATTTGCAATTATAACTTAAATGGAATGACTCAATTTGGTAAAAAATAACAACAAAACTCAAAAATAACTTCTTGAACTTATTCAACTTTTTATTTTTTTTAACTCACAAAAATCACGATATCATCTATTTTTGAAAAGGAAAAGATAATTAATTATTTAACTCGTTTTTGTGTTGTCAATAAAAATTAGAAGTAACTTAAATTTATTGTTGGGTCAAAGACATGTTGTAAACTCTTTAAACAAGATGGCACTTCTAATGAATGAATTTTTGGACACATTTGGAATAATGCAAGTTTCATAGAACTTGGAAGTTTCATATCTCCTAAAGATTCACATGCTTGAACTTCAAGTCTAGTAAGTGAATTAACTCCTTCTAGTCCAATAGTTTTTAAACAAGGACACATAGCTAATGAACATGAAACAAGTGATGTAGGTAATGTTAAAGATTGAGTATCCGAGAATTTTACTTCTAAATGAGTTAAATGAGTTAATTCTTTAATACCTTTTTTATCATCTACAACACAAAATCCATCAAGATTATCTTGGATTTCTAAATCTAAAACTCTTAATGAATGAGGGAGTTTAATGACTTCAGTTCTAGGTTTATTCATTCTTAATTCAAGTCGAGTTAATGTAGTAATTAAACTTAAATCAAGTGGTATTATTTCGGGTTGAATATTATTATATCTTAAAAATGCTAAATGGTCTGAAACTATTGGAGCAGGTAATCTTCCAATTACAATTAAACCATAAGCATCAAATAATTTCTCAGGTAATGATTGTTGGATAGTAGGAAGATACAAATCATTAATTTTATTAATTTGTTCTATAACTTCACTTGATGGTTCTTCAGGTACTGGAAAAGCAAATGGAGAATGATAACAAGGAATAGTAATAAGTTTTTTTGATGCTATTAATTCAAAAACGGATTTATCTGCTGTATAATCAACACCAATTATGAAATTAGGAAGAATTTTCTTGATAATTTCTACATCATTATTATCTCTACAATTATCTATATGAATAATACCATGTGACTTTAAGAATTGTTTTGATAATGACATTAAAGCAGCACTATCTCTCTTCATATTAATTGAGTCAAGAATAATAGAGTTGAAAGATAAATCAATGATTGTAGTTGAATTATATAATGCTGTTAATGTAACACCATCAATTCTTATTTGATTTAAATGTTTCATTTCATGAATAGCCCCAAGTAATTCAATACATAAACCACAAGGAAGAATTTCTGTATGAATTGATAATGAAATAATTTTTGGAGCAATAACTTTTAATAATGGAATTGTATGTGCATCAATACCAGAAAAACAAGTGATGTTAAAGAATTCATATTTGGTTGATTGTTCTTTCCAACGAGTTTCAACATTCTTCCAAAATTCATCATCAGACAATTTTTCATCTTCTTTTGAAACACACAATGAAAATACAATAGAATATAATTCTCCAGTAATGACTTTAGCGTTTGGAAGTAATAGAAATTCTTTTTTTGTTGTAGCACCTCCACAATTAATATTTGTTTTACGATTAGTTAATATTGAGTTACATTTCTTATTAATAAAAGCAAAGGTGTATAAATCTTCTATTGAAAAATAAGAAGTGATAAGAGATAATATTTCATTTGAACAGGTCATATTATTATTTATGATTTATATGTTCTTCTTTTGCAAAAAAAAAAAAAAGGGTTTTTTAACAACAATTTTTTTTTATTTTGTTTTTTAACACAATATTCATTTTAAGTTAAGAAAAAAACCATAATAGTAGTTAAATATTTTTTAATAAAAAATAAAGGAACTTACAATTGAAATTCTAATGAATCAAGAGATATTTATTTGTGGAGTTAATGTTGGAGTAAATGAGATAGTTACCGGTAAATTATTGAATGAAATTGTTTTTAATTTATTAAATCAAATAGGCATGAGTACGTCTTCAACAATTCTACAAAGCAATAAAGCTTTATCATTAACACAATCTCAAGATACTTCTTATCAAAGCATACAAAAAATTGAAGGGATTCAATCTCATCCAATAGAAAGGAAAAATGATAGGTATAAATCAGCGCTACGAAATCCATCATCTCAAATTAACTTAGAAACTTCTTGTTCATTGTTTACAAATAACATATGTACCATTCCAACAACTAAACAAACTAATTCTAAACAAACAAAATCTGAAATTATACAACCAACTGAATCATTTAATCCACTAGATAAAAGAATAAAAGAAAGAGCTAAAACTGAAATGATTACAAAAGAAATTTTTATTCAAGAAGATGAAGATTTTAAAGGAGATTTAAAATATATCAAAGAGTCACTTAAATACTTTTATAAATGGACAGAATTAAGTCAATGTCAATTAATTTTTGATTCTACAATTGAGTATGATCCAGATGAATATGAAGTTTCAAGTTTTAATAGGTTAATTCTCAATAAAGAAAATTTATTACTTATTTATCAAACTAATTTAAAAAGTCATTTAGCAGGAATATTTATTAAAGATAAAATAAAAGTTATTGGAAAGAATATACTTAAAGAAAATAATTTCCCATTTTCATTAAAATGTAATGGAGAATTAGATATAATAAAAAAGTTTGTTAGAAGCAAGACACAAGGAGTATCTCCTCTTGAATTAACCTTGACACAAACAAATCAAATTGATTTAAAAAATAAACCATTTTTCTTTATCTATGGAAATAGAGATATTTCATTAAAAGTAGGATTGTCTTCATGTTACTCAACTTTATGTGATGAGTTTATTGATATTAGAGGAACATTAAATTGTTGTACAGCAATGGGAGGAAGTTGTTTTAATGTTGGAAGAATTGTTGTAGTTCAATTATATTAAATTTAGTAGGTGAAATAAGTAAAAAAAAAGTACAAAAAAATTCAATTTCACAACATTGATTGAATAGTGGTATATAACGGAGTTTCATCTATAAAACCAACAAAAATATTAGATTGAATCATTTGGGTAATGAAAGTTCTCCATTCATTACAATGAACACAATTTAATAACAACATGATAATTTGATTTTTCATTATTTTATTTTTTGCACATAATTGAATTGTTTTTATAATACAATCAGAAGGAATTAATTTTCTGATTTGAATAAAGTACATTGTAACAATTTCAATTAGCTGAGGTATTTCTATTAATTTTTCTTGAATTAATTTAATATGAGAAGTAATTGTAAAATTCATTCCCATTTTTATTAATTGAATAACAATTTCTAATAACGCATAATTATTTTTATTTACCGCTTCTTCAAATAATATATCCATTTGATATTGATTTCTTATTTCTTTTAATTCAGTAACTAGTTTAATAATAACATTACCTATTAATTGAATATTTTTTATTTGTTCATTTAATCCTTCAAGAATATCAATAAATTCTTTTGTTATTTTCATTAATAATTCTCTGTCATGTTGAATTAATTCTTTTTGACCAATAATAGAATTAATAAAATAAAGAACATTATTAATATCATCATTACTTCGTGTGTTTTTTAAAATTATTAAAGCATCATTTATAAAATCTTTTGAATACCAAGTTGATGGAACAAGAAGACGTAATGCAGAGCTTTGATGTTGAATTAATTCATGAAAATCAACAGTAAGTAAAAGTAATGGTTGTAATGCTGGTGATGAGCAATGAAGTAAAATAGGAAGAGAGTTAGGTAATAAATCAACAAATTGAAGAACTAATTGAGGTTGTTCAATTAAGAAAGATTCAATAAAAGAATCAGATAATAAATGAACTGCAACCGAAATAGTCCAATTATCCATTTGATGAGAAGCAATATTATTTAATAACCATTCTGCATCTAATCTTAAAGATGAAGGAGGAAGAGAAATAATAAATTGAGAAGTGTATTGGTCAATAGATTTAAAATGATTTTTAAGAATAATAGAATGGTAAATAGTATAAGGAATATTAGTTAAAAATTGAAACAATAATCCAACCGTTTCTACATATATTAAATCTTTATTTTCACTAATAAATCTAATCATTGAAATAAGTAAATGATGTTGATGAATAATTTTTTCATTTCTCCAATAACATAAAGTTTTAATAATATTATTTATATCATCAGAAGTAATAAATTCCCATGTTAATGTCATTAAACCATCAACCATTTTTTCATTACACAAACCTTGAGCAATTTTAAATCCAAGAGAACGTAAAGAAGGAATATGTGAATGAAGTAATAAATCAATTTCATTTTGAAGTTGTTCAGTGGCATTAGGAATAGTTAAAATATAATTAGGATAATCTTTTACTTCATTAACATTTTTATCTTTTAAAGCAAGAAGTAACAAATGAATACAAGAAGGAGTTAATACAATCGGTATATTTAATAATTTAAATTGAGTAAATAAATATAAACATTTATTTACTGATTCAATTGGAAGAGCAGAGAATGTTAAAAATTTAGGAAGAAGAATTGATATTTCAGAATATTCAATAATTAATGACTTGACCTGACTATAAAATGAAGTAATTAAAACAATTAATTGATTCATTAAATCAACTTGAGTTGCTTTCCAATTAAAAGCCATTTCAAAATAATTTTTAAGAACATTGCTTTTATAAATTAAATTAGTAGATTCTACATTTTCTAAAGAAAGAACAGCACATAAATAATTTAATGATTCTAAAATAAAAGAATTACAAGTACTAATCATTTTAGAAGAAGAAATAAGAAGTAATAAAGGTTGTAAAATATCTAAAGCCATTGTAGAATGATCATCTCCTTTAATAATAAATTGAGTAAAAAATTGTAATTGAGAAGCTTTTAATGTTAATGAAGTTTCTTTATTAACTGAACATACTAAAAATGAAAAATATCCATTTGATTCTATATCATTTGAACTACCATAAATTAAAATATTTCTAATAGGAGGAGCTTTAACTGCAATAGAAAATGTTGTATAAACATTTTGAAGTAATGGTTCATAAGTTTGTTGATTAATGAATAAAATAGAAGAACTAACAAAAGTTAAAGCATCTTTTTCAGAAATAGTAATATGAGGAATAATCGTAGAAATAACTTGTAATAAAATAGCAAATGATTGAATTGGAAGAATTTTAAAGAGAGGAAGGAGAAGAGGTAAAAGGGGAATAGAAATAGAAGAAAAGATAATAGGATTTTTAAAAAGAATGTTTAAAAGAATTAAAGTTTCATGAAGAATTTTAATATCATTTTGTTTTAATAAATTTAAAACAATATTAATATTTTCTGGTGAATGAATAATTTCATCTTGAACATTTTCATATTGAATAAATTCATTAATAGCAATAATTGATTGTAATGGATTTGTTTTTAAATTAACAAATAAAGTACATATAAATGATGTTTCAATATAATGACTAACAATTTCTCTATGATATTGAGCTGCAATTCTAAGTATTTTATAACATTTTACCATTAGTTTATCATCTATTCTAGATAAAGAAATAATTCCATCAATAATTCCTCTACTTAATAAAACAATACTTGCTTCATCTCCAAATGTATTTAATAATACTTTACATAATTTTAATCCAATAATTTTTTTTTGTTTAACAGTATTAGAAATAAGAAGTTCTATTAAATCTGGATGATTTTCAATTAACATTTCTGATAAATGATATTTAGAAGAATCTCCTGATTCAATAATATCTTTAAGAATAATTGTAGCAGTAAAATTACTATCATCTTCTTGTTTAATTGTTTTAAAAACAATTTCTAAAAAATCATCATTCATACTTAGTTGAGAGAATAATGTTGGAAATGATTTAAATATTAAAATTATTTCAATAATTGCATTAGTATTTTCTTTATTTTGTCTATCTAATAACATTTCTAATTTAGGTAATAATCCACCATTTAAATATGGTGCAATTGTTTTATTTGTTTTTGAATATGCAATTAATATTATTATAATTGATTGTGCATTATGTGAATCAATTATTTGTATAGTTTCTTTCCACACACTATCACTTATTTTACATTTTGTACTTTCAATACTACATGCAAAAAATCTATACATTACTTCTACTATTCTTTTTTCTTCTACTGACTCACAATATAATGTATTTAATAATTTTAACATTTCTTCACTTGCAAATTGTGTTAATATTCTTTCAATAAATTCTCCTTCTTTATTTTCTTTACTTTCTGTAAATTCTTTTCTAAATTCTTTTAATTGATAATTCTCATTTTCAACAAATTCATGTGCTTTTTCAAATACTTCTATAATTTCTCCAATAGTTTGATACTCTCCTTCTTTACTTCCTTTCATACATGATACTACAATACTTCCTAATAAAAACATAATTTTTCTATGATACTCTGTAAATTTTGCTAATTCATTAAATGCATTTCCATCAATCATATTTCTTACATGAATATCTTTTTTAATTGCAAATATTATTATTTCTAATAATGTTAAATGGAATTCTTTAAATTTTAAAATGTTCATTAATGCTGGTATCATTCCTCCTTTAATTAAATCTTCTATTGTATATAGTGAGTCACTCCAATACATTAAAAATTCATTAAACGCTCTTATTTTTGCTTGATCATTCCCATCATTAAAATATGTCCCTAATACTCCAATACATCCTTTTTGTGAATTGAGATGTTTCTCACATATCCAACAATATCTAGTTCGGTTATCAATACAATTAGAACAAAAATATCGCTGACAACATTTACATTGCGCACGTCTTACAAAAATAATTCCATATGATTTACAGCAGGATGGGCAATAAGGTGTTGTATTAACTGGTTGGGGTGCAGCTTGGTAGCAAAGATATTTCTGGGTTGAATTTAATGACATAATAGAGAGTGATATTATTAAGATGAAAGACAATCTTAATTTCAAGATTTGATAATTAGACTTGAAATTTGATTAACATTGAGTTAATTATTAAAACTATCATTAAATCTTGCCATTAATTTACTAAGAATAATTATTACTAAAAGTATAATATTTTATACTAAATATTAATAATAAAACTAAAAATCAAAATGCAAGAAACAATAACAGAGTTACTTAATAAAAGTGATATTGAAAAACGTTGCATTGAGGAAGAGGGGACTGTTCAATATTATGTCAATCAATTAATTAATACATTATTGATAGAAAAACAAGTCACTGAAGAAGTAATGAAACTTCAAAACAACTTAGAGGAGTCAATTAAACAAACTGAAAAGGCAGAAAAAGAAATGTATAAAAACAAAGAAATACTTATCAAAATTAATAATGAAAAGATTGCTTTAAAAGAAAAAATGGAACGAAGTAAAGTACTGTTACAACTTGCTTTTAAACGAAACCAAATGCTTCAAAATGAAAAGAAAAGACTAAAGTTATTAGCACAACCAAAGACTAATGAGAGTAATATAAAAAAATGGAAAGGAATTCGTAAAGAAGTAAAAGAAATAAGAAGAGGACTTGATGAACTTATTCAACAAGAAAAAGAAAAAAAGGTTAAAGAATTAAAAATAATTAAACTTGAAGAACTTCAAGAAGAAAGAAAAAAAGAAATTGAAGATTTAAAAAAATTAAAGGAAAAACATCTACAAGAAAATCAAATAAAAGAAGAAAATGATGACCAAACATCAAGTAGTGAAAGTGAATATAAAATTGACCAACAAGATTCATTAAAAAAGGTACAACCTTTTGGTACTTCTGTTTTACGTCAAATAGAAGAAAGTAATGTTATGGAAGAAGAAGAAGAAGAAAAAATAAATAAAGATAATAATCAGTTTAATGAAGAAGATGCATTCTTTCATTCAGATCAAACAGCAAGTGAAGAAATTGAAATGGATAATGAAGAAAGTGAAAGTGATTCAACAACATCAATTAGTAACGATAGTGATTAATCCATACAATGTGATGATTATAATAAATTAAATTATATTTAAATTTAAACTCTCTTTTACTTTTGTTTGATAAAAAACTTATAATTTAATTTTTTATGACAAGATTAACTGAGAGTGATTTATTGCGTCTACTTGAAGAAATGAAAACAAAATATGAAGAACTTTCAAGAGCTAAAAAAGAAATTGAAGACAACAGTATTGTTAATGATTTAAAAACAAAAGTAAAAAGTTTACTTATGATTATTAGTTATTTAGAAAAGAATCAAAACAATGGAAAAGATGAAAATTATAAAAGAATAAAAGAGTTGGAAGAAGAAAATCAAAAGCTTAAGAATCAAATTGCAAGTTCTACAGTACAAATAAATTTAGTTAAAACAATGAAAAATCTTGAAGAACTACAAGAAGATTATAATACCCTTGTTGAATTAAATGAAGAAATGGAAGAAGAAAATAAACAATTAAAAGAAGAAAATAAAGAACTTAAAGAACAACTTAATAAATACATAGACCAACAAGATGATGTTGAAGAATTAAAGAGATTAATTGAGGTATCAACAAACAATTATAATGAAACACATCAATTATTAATAAATCTACAAAAAGAAAATGATAATACTCAATCTGAAGATTTAATGATAATCCAAAAGAGAACAGAAATGATTATTCATAATCAAAATGAAAGAAATAATGTATTCTTTAAGTGGAGTTGTTTAGACTATAATTACAATCATCAACCAATATCTAAAACTGGAATAACTAATACATTGAAATATACAATTAAAGACCAATATGGTGGATGGACAATTTCTTTTGAATATATTCAATCACTTGGTAATATTATTGCAATATATTCCAATTCATGTTTAATTTTTCAACGACCATATTTATGTGGTTTATATAATGAATCAACAACTTTATGGGTTCAAGATAAAGGGATATATTGTATTGTTACAATAAATGATATAAATGAAGTAACTTCATATACTCCATTGATTCTTTAATAATTAAATTTATTTATTTTAAATTAGAAAGTTCTACTAACAAATGAAACTTTTCATACAAGGACAATAAAAGTTTTAAAGTACATTAAAATAAAAACTTAATAAAAAAGAAAATTGGATATGATGATGTGGATACAAAAGTTTTATAAAGAAATTATCAAGAAATTTCGAGTTTATAAAATTGTTGCAAAAAAGTAAAAAACATTGTTTCATTTAGAATAAAAAAATCTTTCTCTTTGCGTTTTAAGATTATCTATTAATTTTAAATAACATTCAATGCTTATTATAATTATTATAACAATTTTCATTTGTTGTTGTTTTTCAGAAACAACAGAGATGACATGGTGTGATTCAAATGATAGAGGATTAATTCAATATGTTAGTGTTTCAAAAGGGTTATGTGATTATACAGATAAAAATTGGTGTGGAGTGTTATTTTCTTATTTTAATGATAGTGATTGTTTTGAGATATATAATAGTTGTTGTTCTAAAGATGAAACTAGAGTTGATCTTAATGAATTTCATTTAATTGATAATATTTATGATGGTAGAAATTCTAAGAGAATTATTAGATTTAATTTTAAAGGAAGTCCATATGCAAGAGCATTTCATAATATTACAATTGAAGAATATCATCCAAGAATTAATTTTGTTATTAATACTTATTATATTCTTCCTAAAAGTATTATCACTTTAACGGGAAGAGAAATTACTTATGAAGAATATCCTTATTTTATTATCGCAGAGTCAAGACCATTTACTATTAAAACTTCATTAGAAAATACATTAGAATATATTAATTTAAATTATACATGGGGATTTTCCCCAGGAGTTTTTATAGAAGGACGTATTGCAGTAAAACTAACAAATGAAACAATAAGAAATGATTGTCAATATAGATATACATCAGATCAATATGTTATTAATAGAGGAGTTGATAATAACAATTTACAAGTATTAGATATTTGTTATGTTCATAATAGACATAGAATGGCTATTTGTGGAAAGAATGTACCAATAACATATCAAGATTGTTCTTGTTCTTATTCAAATTTTGAATATGAAAATTCAGCAATAGATTGTTCATTTTTAAGTAAGTATTTATCATTTAAAATAAAACCAAATCAAGAGTTTATTCCTTATGAAAGAGAATGGTCAACTTTAATAACAACTGGTGTTGATAGTAAAATTACTATACCAAAAGATTCTTCAATGATATTTTTTAATGATGCTTATTTACCAAATGCATCATTAAGTATTGATGGTACATGTATATTTAAAGGAATTATTCATATTGAAAGGAGTGATGTATTATATAATTTAGGTCATTTTCAAGCAACATTATTTGAATACGGTTCTATTGAAATTTCTAAAGACCCAGTACTTTTTATTGGGAAATGTAATAGTAATTTAACCGAATGTAATAAAGTACTTTCAAACAGTAATATAAAAGAAGTAAATTGTGGAGGAGTTTTAAATAGATATTTATATAGTGGAAGTACATTAGGATGTAAATGTACACAAAAAGATTCTACATATTTTGAACAATCAGATTGTTCATATTTAACTGAAGGAAGACAAAATAGAATGAAATTAGTATTAGAATATAATTATAATAGTGGATTAACTAAAAAGTATTGGAGTAGTATTTCAGGTAAAAAATATGACAATGGAGAATTGATTGAAAGTATTATATTAGAAGGAAGTTCTATTATTGTTGAAAATGAGTGTGATTTTAGAAATATTAAAGTAATAGAATTAAAAGGGTCTTTAAGATGTGGTATATTATATTTAAGTAATACTACAAAAATTATTGGATATGCTGGAAGTTCTTTAAGAACTTATTCTATTCAAATTGATAATATAGTTTCAAATATGAATAAAGAGGCATTAATAATTATGGGAGATGGTGAATTTATTAGTGATGGAAGTATGAATAAAGTATTATCAACTGATCAAACAGAATGTTTTGAATTAGTTAGTTTTAATAATGAAGTATCAAAATCATTAGATGAATCTACTGATGGAAAATATGTTTCATTAGTTGTTGGTAAAATGATTCGTATTTGTCCAGAAGGGTATAATAAAGATGATAGACGTAAAATTATTTGTTCAGTAGAAAATGGAGTATTTGGTAATTTTAAATATCATCAATGTCCATGCAAAGGAAATGAGTGTTATTATGATCTTGGTGAATGGAAAGAGATTACTATTAGTTCTGAAAAGGAATATGATATGATTGATGGAAATGTTATTATTACAAATTCAAATATTATATTTAATAATGTAAGAAGTATTTCTTCTATTCAAAGTAATGTCATACCAACTATTCAATTAAATGGAAATAATGATATAATTTCTATTAAAATAAATACAAATAAAACAATGAATATTATAAGTAATCAAAATATTTATTTATCTGGAAGTGCAGAGGGTGTTAGTATTAAAACAACAAAAAACAATGGAAATATTAATATTGTTGGAGTATATGATCAAATAGGAGTTAACATAAGTTATACAACAACGATAACTATTGAAAATGGTAATTCTATTGCAAGTATAAATAATCAAGGAGGATTTGATATTTCAAATAATAGTTTAATAGGAAATAATAAAGTAAGATATTCTATTGATGGAAGATGTAGAATCGGAAGAATGATTAATGAACGATTTATTTGTGATTCATGTGGAAAAGATGAAATAAAAGGAAGTTGTTTAGAAAATATAAATGTTGATAATTGTTTAACATATGGAATAACAGGAAGATGTATTGAATGTCAAGAGAAATATTATCTTAGTAATAATATTAAAGAAAATGAAATTAATCAAAAATGTATTTATTGTTTAGATGGTCATTGTAAAAGATGTTCAAAAGAAGAATGTTATGAATGTGAAGAAGGATATAAATTAGAAGAAGGAATGTGTAAATATCATGATACAAATTGTAAATTTTATTCAAATGGATATTGTAAATTATGTGAAAATGGAGAATATGTTAATAACATACAATATTGTTCAAAATGTGAAATTAATAACTGTGAAGTATGTAAAACACATGATCCAAAACAATGTGAGATATGTTCAAATGGTTATTATTTAAATAAGAGTTTATTATGTGAAAAAATAAATATAAATAATGAAACAGTAAATTCAGGAGCAATAAGTTGTTATGAAGGATATTATAATGATAATGGAATATGTAAAGAATGTAAAAAGAATAATGAATATGGGAAAGAATGTTTAGAATGTACAAATGAGAAATGTTATTCATGTGAAAATGAATACAAATGAATATTGTGAAGTAATAAAAGATTCTAAATGTATGAAATGTAAATACGGATATTATAATCCATCGTCATGTACAAAATGTCCAAAAGGATGTTTATCATGTTATGGAACAATAGAAAATGTTATATGTCTTGAATGTGATAATCAAAATAATTTAACTTTATGGTTAATTGACGGTCAATGTAAAAGTCAGAATCAAATATTTTTATTAAATAATTCATTAAAAATAAAAGAACATCAAAACTTAGATAAATGTAGTATTAATCAAAAAGGTATTTGTATTAGATGTTCTGATGGATATTATGAATTTAATTCAAATTGTTTTCCTTGTAATTCAAATTGTTCAAGCTGTTTAACTACATCAACACAATGTTTATCTTGTTCTGACCCTACTAAAATTGTAAGTAATTATGAATGTGTTTCTGATGAAGAATTCTCTAAATCTTGTAAACAACAAACATTAAGTAAAGTTGGATGTGCTATTTGTAATGATGGGTATTATAGAAAAGGAACATCATGTCCAAAATGTCCAAAAACAATGGAATTATGTGAAAGAGAAGATTTACCAATAAAATGTAATGTTGGATATTTTATGTATCATTCTAAAGAATGTAGACCAAAAACTGAATTAACAAATTGTGTTACAATTGATTCAATAGGTTGTAGTAAATGTTTAGATGGATATTATGTTTACGACTCTTATTGTTTTAATTGTCCAGATAATTGTTATTCATGTAGTAATAGTAATACATGTAAATTATGTTTTGATGGGTTTGTATTAAATGGATTAAAGTGTGTATCTTATAAAACAATAGAACATTGTGAATCTTCTTCAAACAATGTTTGTACTTCATGTTCAAGAGGTTTTATAATAAAAGGAAATATTTGTGAAAGAAAGTCTATGTGGTGGATAAGTTTAATTGTTATTCCAATATTCATATTAATAATTGTTATGATTTATTTCATACTTACATTAATTTCAAAAAAAATAATTAGACTAAAACAAGATAATACTTTAAATTTAAAAGAGTTATTCTCCTCAGAACATTTTCAAGAAGTTCTTCCTGGTATATTAGTGACAAATAATAAATTTACATTAGTTGGAGATGAATATATTCCAGTAAATGAAACTACTACTTTAAAATTAATAATTGCTAATCATGGCAAACATAAAGTTAAGATTCAATCATCTCATATCCCTTCCAAAAAATATCAATTTACTATTCAACCAAATTTAGTCTTTTTAAGACAAAATAAAGCTATTGAAGTTACTATGGATATTACACCTATTTGTTCTACTACTATATTACAACAAATTAGATTTTCTGTATATAATTTTAAATTTAATAAAGAAATGGAATTTTATGTGGATATTAATATTGAAACTGAACAGACATGTATATTAGATCCAGACGAACTTATTCAAAAGAAAAAAATTGGAGAAGGAACTTTTGGTGTTGTTTATAAAGGTGAATTTAAAGGAAATAGTGTTGCTATTAAAAGAATGAAACCAAAAATTAATGATAATAGTTCTGAAATAGAATTTAGAAAAGAGGTAGAAATGTTAGAAAAATTTAGATGTAATTATATTATTCATTTCTATGGAGCAGTAATAATTCAAGATAATAAATGTATGGTTACTGAATATGCAAAATATGGATCAGTACAAAAAATGATTGAATCAAAACCATCAAATTCACTATCTAAAAGTATTAAAATAAAAATGTTATTAGATATTGCTAGAGGAATAGAATATCTTCACAATAATGGTATTCTACATCGTGATATTAAACCTGATAATATGTTAATAACTTCCCTTGATAATGACATCCCTGTTAATGCTAAACTTACTGATTTTGGAAGTGCTAGAAATATAAATTCATTAATGACAAATATGACATTTACAAAAGGTGTTGGAACACCTTCTTTTATGGCTCCTGAGATATTAAAAAGAAAAAAATATAAAACAGCCGCTGATATTTATTCATTTGCTATTAGTATTTACTCTGTTATGACTTGGGAAGATCCTTATCCTAAACAAGAATTTGAGTATCCTTGGGTTATTGCCACTTTTGTAGCTTCTGGACATAGAAGACCACAAAACAATTTACCTGATTATGTCTATAAACTTATATGTGAGTGTTGGTGTGATGAACCAACTAATAGACTAAATATAGAACAAACAATAAAACAGCTTGAAATTATTCAAAAATCCATTCAATCAAAACATCATTAATTTTTTGTTATTTATTTATTTTTTTTTTTAATTTTAGAAGATCCTTTTCCAATGCAGGAAATACAACAAATTTTAATGCCATGGCTATTGTGTAAAACCTTAGGGTCTTGTAAAGAAAAGCAAACAAGACATAGAAATATAAGGTCATACAACAAAAAAAGAAATGTCAATAGCAATAAATGGCATAACAATTATAATAATAAAGGTAAATGATACACCAAGGAAAAAGGGTTTAGAAGACGAAAGACACAAAGAAAAACAAATAAAAAACAAGGTAAATACAATAACAATAAAGATTATACAAATAACAAATATAAATGGCTAACAATAAATGAGATACAAGAAAGAATAAAAAGAATAACAAGTGAATGGAAAGAAGGAGAATACGAAGAAATACTTAAAAAATATGAAGGTAAGAGGAAAAGATGGTATGATATCCTCCAAGAAGTATATTCAATTAAAAAGAAAAAGGTAATTGAAAAGACGAAAGAAGAGTTTAAAGAAAAAACAAAAGATTGGGAAGAAAAAGACATTAAGGCTATAGAAGCAGAAATTAAAAACAAAAACCCAATTAAAGAAATGAATGATAGATGTAAAATTGCAAGAATAATAAATAACAAACAAAGTATAAAGAAAACACAAGAAGAAACAAAAAATAAAGAAGAAAAGATAGAAGAAGAAAAAGAAAAAGAAGAAATACTTGCTCTGAAAAATCAAATTACTGAATTACAAGGAAAACTTAAAGAATTAAGTATGAAAAGAATGGAAGAAGAACAAGCCATCTCAGAAGAAATGATGAGAAAAGCAAAAGAAATAGTTAGGAAAGAATTTGAAGAAGAAATTACAGAAATGAAAACACAAATTAAAAAGATTCAAACGAATTATGAAGAAATGAAGAAAGAAAATGAAAAATTAGAAGAAGAAAACTTAAAACTACAAGGAAAAGTAAACGAGATAGAAGGAAAGAAAATCACAGAAGTAAATAATAAAGAAGAAAAAATCCGAAGTATCCAAGCTAATAAAAAGAAGATTGAAAAAGAAAATGAAGAAATGAAAGAAGAAATTGAAAAGCTAAAAAAGAGAAACAAAACGCTAGAACAAAATGCAAACACATTAGAGAAGAAAATTGAAATGATAGAGGAAAATACTAAAGAATTAAAGAAAGAAATAAGAGATAAAGAAAAACAAATATCTGAATATCAAGAAATTGCAATTAAAAACCAAGAAATTGCAGAAATAACAAGAGAAGAATTAGACAACACACAAAAAGAAAATGAAGCACAAAAACAAATAATATCAAAACAACAAGATGATATTGAAAATTTTATTTCACAGAAGGAATTAGAGAAGAAGAAAACGATGACACTTGTGATAAATACACAACCAGTACTGAGGAAAACATCATCAGGAACGATGGAGATGAATGAAACTACTCCTATGAAAAAGACAGTAGTGGAAATCGAAGAGAAAAGCAAAGCACTGATTGTCAAAAAACAAGAGATGACAGTCAGACAAGAAATACAACAGAACAAAGAAATAGAATTTTAATTGAAGTGTTGTATTGTTTTGAATTAATTTGTTAAATAAGAAATTATATAAGAAAATAAAAAATGAACAAATAGAAAATATAATAAAAGCAATAAATATCAATGTCAATAATGAAAAAGAATATATTAAATATATTAAAATATCACATAAAATAAAAGAAAATACTAAACGGTACATTAAATTGAAAATAAATGATATAATAGAAGGAAGAGTAGAGTGTGATTCAATAATAAAAAATCATAATAAAAAATAACTATACTGAAATTGATGAAGAATACCTTAACACTCTCATCAATAAAGTAAAAGAAATGAAAATAGAAAAATGTTCAAACATTAATTACTACTTTCAAAGAAAAGAAACTTATGAATTAATAAATGAAATTAATAATAGATGGATATGGTCAGGAAGCAGAATGCAGGATCTGCAAGATGATATGAA